AAATTTAAGTGATAAAAAATTTGTGTATAACCACATTCACATGCCAAGTGGACGGTGAGATTTTTATTAGAAACTATGTCACGGTAATGGTGAAGGAGAAAATCTGCTACCGCTGATGTGTATTCTCGTCTAATCATAATGTGTCACATCATTAAAAAAAATATGTTATTAAGATAATTTTTTTATTTTATTTTTTTTGTTACATTTTTTTATATAATTTTTATATGTCATTAAATAAGTAAATGTATTCAATATTATAAGTTTTACATGAATTAAAAGAATCAATATTTTAATAATATGTCAAGTTATACAAAAAAAAATAAAATAAAATAATTATCCAATAGCATTTCTCATAAAAAAATTCTCCACCTTATTGGCCATGCCAGCTCATTCAACAGTAAAAATGATGATGTGACGCACTGTATTTGGCTGGAGATACCACGTAAACGGTTTCCTAAAATACAACAGAAATTTTCGATGGTGAAGGAGATGAGTCATTAATATGGTAGCACATGGTTTATTTATTTATTTATAGTATTTATTTGTTTTAAGAAGTGTCCTACATTTAAAAATTAAAATTTTAATTAAAATATTTAAAATTTTATTTTATTAAATATTAAAATATTAAAATTTTAATTTAATTTTAATTAAATAAAATGATATCATTTAAAATTAAAATTTAATTTTTTATAAGACTTAAAATTAATATGTATTTTTTAAAAATATTTTTTAAAAAATATAAATAAATTTATGTGATAAAAAACTTCTGTATAACTATAGCCACATCCGAAGTGGGTGAGATTTTTCTTGGCAATCTGTCATATATTCACTAAATCAAAATTTTTATCTATTTACATGTATTTCACTTTTAAATTCAACATTTTCCGTATATATCTATTTAAAAAGTCCATGGCCTTACCTACCCCAAAAAAGGTGCCAATAAGCAGTCTAAATTATATGCACTATTGGACCCATGGAGAAGAACCAAGTTTTGTTTAGTGACTGTAGGTGAAGGAGATGCATTGCTTTGAACTCATTCCATTCTTTGAATCTAAGCACTTCATCCACTTTCTAAATGCCATACTCTTTAGCCAGTTGGCCAGAATATATGTTGTTCCTCGAACATTCTTTTCCATCTCTATATCATATCATTGTTATATTTTGATCACAAAATTAAATAAAATATAATCAGTAAACTTATCAAAAAATATTAATAAAAAATTATCATTAAAATATGTGTGAAAAACTTATTTACTTTAAGACGACTCATGCCCTAGTGAGGTGTAAATTGACTAGTACAATAGAGATATATATAGGCATATAGTATGTCGTCTTCAAGATGTTATAGTTTTATAATAATACTTTATGAATCTGCACTATTTATAGAGTCACTTAATTCAAAATACTCTTTTTTACCTAAGAATATTTAGAAAATAAAGATAAGAAAAATAGAAGAATGTGAAAGAACTCCCTTAGTTGAGCAAAAAGATATATCCTATATAGCACTCATATTCATATAACTCCCATTTGTAGGTTAATGAAAGTAATAAATCGAGCAATTATAATGAAATAATGCGCCTTTAAATATAACAACTAACTTATAATGACTAGTTTGACCAAATCCTTAACAGGACAATAAATTTAATTTATAAAATATATTATTATTTTTTTTAATATTTATGGTCGAAGAATATATGCCCAAAATTAATCTATTTTGTGCTGTGAAATGCAGGGGAACAACAGAGGAACAGAGCACTCTGTTTAAATATTTAGAAAAGAATGAAAAACATAGATTTGTGTATTATTATAAGGAATTAATGGGTGTTAACCTATATTACAAAAAAGTAGGTGAAAAAATATCACAAAATTATGTCATTTTAATAAAGTATGATGAGGAAAAAATTAAAATACATTCATTTTTGTTTTAAAATTTAAGATATTTTAGTCTTTTTTTAATGTGATTTTACTAAAACAATATAATTTTAAGATTTTTTTTTGCTTAATTTTTTGAAATACAAACTAACACCTACTTTTCCATTATTATAAATAGTGTTC